CACCATCCCTGGAGGTATCTAAGAGACATAGGAACATACAACGGTTTGGGTTGGAAGGGACCTCAAAGATCATCTAGTTCCAACCCCCCTGCCATGGGCAGGGACACCTTCCACTACACCAGGTTGCCCAAAGCCTCATCCAGCCTGGCCTGGAACACCTCCAGGGATGGGGCAGCCACAGAAATAGCCAACACGAGCTAAATATCAGTGTGTGCAGCCCCTTCTCCCAGGTAGGATGGCCACTGAGTTCCCGGGTACGTTAGCTCAGCAAGAAGCCGAGAGACCAGACCTCTCCGGATCCGATCGCGCACGATGTTGGACGCGGCGGTTTTGTCCCCAGCAGAAAACTTACCAAGATGAGAAATCGGTGCTTCAGGTGCTTGTTGGGTTGAATACAGCCATACTGGGGCCCCTCGTTATAGACGGTGCCCGTTGGATCGAAGAAGGGCACGTGGCCGTCCCTGCCCGTGCACAGATAGACTTTCTCCAACCGCACCTTGTACGGGGCGTTGAGGTTTTGTTCGGGGTTCCAGAGCACGCGGCCGTACAGGATTTGCCCTGAGGAGATGGAGAGAAGAACGGTCAGGTTAAATTCTGCAATTCGACAAGAGAACCATTATTTAGAGCCAAATGCACCAAAGCACACAGGGCTCTGGGTTGGGAAGGGTTTTGACTGGTGTGTGCAGGTGACAAAACACCGTGCCAGAGCACAGTGTTGTCTGGTTGTGCTGTCATGGGGCTGTAACATGGTCAAAACACCGTTTGTTGCTGTAAAAGAGGGAAAGCCAAACCTGGGTTTTACCTTTCTCTTTCAGAGGAACGGAAGATGTGAAGCCAGAAACATCAGGGCCAAGCAGAACAGGAAAGAAAAAGAAGATAAATCCTACCCTTGGAAAAAGCCCCTTTGTAATCCATTTCTGCCAGAGACATTTCGGATTTGGTGGGGTCCATCAGAAACACCTTCTCGTTGTTGCAGAGCTGGAACTCCGTGTTTAGGGAGTAGACGACAGGAACTGGGCGGTTGGTTTGCTGGAAGGCAATCGGGATCAGGAATCTAAAGTTGGGACAGGAAAGGAAAAAGGAGAGGTTTAGTCTGGACATGTCTGAAGTTACGGGCTGGTGACCTACCCAGCCTGCTTCCCCTTTCTTCCCTCCTGCTTTACTATTCATAGTCCATCAGCCCGTACTACGGTGGTGTCCAACCCAAGGTGACTTGTAGCCCCTCTCCCTGCCTGGTGTTCTGCTAACGGTGCAGGGCTCTGCACGACCAGCTGAATCCTCCTCCCAACAACTTTGATTTTCTTTCCATCTGGGGACAACCGAAGGCTACGTGGGGCCGTGACGATGGGGACTCCTTACCGCTCGGGAGCGTGAGCCGTACAGGGCAGGGGCTTGTCTCCAGGCTCCATCCACGGCTGCGTGGGCTGCACAGTACAGGGGATCAAGAAGATGGTGTACTCTCCAGAGTAGTCCTTCCTGGGAAGAGACAGGAGACGCTGCGGTCACCAAAGGAGACTCCAAGCTGCTCAACCAGCTGTTGTGTTTGCCTAACATCCACCGTTTTCTAATTACTGTGAGCAGGCAAGACCAAGATCCTAGCAGGACCTCTCCCTCGCCCCAGAAACGTCCATCTACTCCAGCAGTCCCAGGAGGGACTAGTTTGACCCGCGGTGTTTCATGTGACCCTCTGCGCAAGGAGCACGGACTGTAAGAATAAACAGTCATAGAAATCATCACAGTCAGGACTAATAATGTTTCACTTTTTAAAAAGCAAACCAAATATTTCTAGATCTTAATTTATGTACCTCCACCACGCACGGCACTACTGATGGAGTTGGCTGAGGACACGGAATCCTGCTTTTAACTTGCCGACCGCAAAACAACCTTGAAGACGTTGTTACCCCTGGTATGGTATCTACCTACCTGCTGGCTCAACTGCCAGAAAAATGCACTTACAAGGAGAGGAACTGGTTCTCCCCTCTGCTCACACGAGTGGCAGAGGAGCATTTTCAGCCCTGACTGCGGCTCCCCGCGTGCTCCGGCTCCGAGCCCTCGAACCGGGCTGCCTCCCGGTCGCTCCGCACCATCGCGGTGGCTGCGGAAAGGGCAATGGGGATCGCTCTCTCGGGGCTGGATGTGAAACTGCTGCCTTGCTGCTGTTGATGACGTGGACTTTCACTGCTTAAGAACATGGTGCTGCTGAAGGTGGCTGAACTCGTGGTCCTCACCTGTTGTAGGAGCTGGTTGCTCTCCAGAGCTGGTAGGGAGAGTCGAAAGTCTGAGCGCTCCACAGGAGCTGCAGGTCAAATTCGATCCCTCCCAGGTGGTCTGGAGTCATTAAAAAAGACTTGACATCTGGCAGGCTGTGGTGCTCCATGACAAAAAGCCCTGGGGTGAGGACAAGGAGGTGACAGATAAAGCAGAGAGCCCGCGCGCAGCACATCTCAGCGGAGAGGGACTCCCCGTGGGAGGAGAGACTTGTTCTGCTCCCTGACTTTTCAGAACAGATCTGTGTTTGCACACGCATGTCCTCCTCTATCAGGAGGAACGCTCTCACCTCTGAACTTGGCCTGGGTCTTGAACTCGATAACCAGCCGGCCGTCCTCGCGGATGTAGATCCTGATGATCTGCAGCCGGGCTGAGAGAACGCTGTCCGTCTGAATTCCTGCGTGGTGCAGCAAGAACAAAGCCATTGGGGAAGCCACACAACACAGTCCGTCCTCGGGTGGGCTCCCTCAGCCCCACGGAGCACCAGAAGCATTTGGGAGAGCTCGGAAAAGGCCCCGGGTTCCCAGCACACACAGGCTCCAAATATCGCAGGAAAGCAAAATTAAGAAGCTGGAAATAGAAGATTTGCAGGCACAGGATAAAGCATCGGGAGAAATGACTCCAAATATCTCCCAGGGAGCATTGTCTGCCTGGCTGTGGGGAGCCAGATGAAGAGATGGCTCTTTTCCCACAGCACTTTCTCGGGCTCAGTGGGAACTGTTCCCCTTAGCAGAGGGAGGCTGGGGGGGAAGGACAGCCCCCTCGCTGAGCGTACGCACGCGCCGGCACGCCTGGCCGCAGCCTGCGTGCCCACAAAGATGATGAAGGGAGTGGAGCATCTCCCTTCTGAAGAAAGGCTGAGGGAGCTGGGTCTGTTCAGCTTGGAGAAGAGGAGACTGAGGGGGCACCTCATTAATGTTTATAAATATGGAAAAGGTGACTGTCATGAGGATGGAGCCAGGCTCTTCTCAGTGGCATCCAATGATAGGGCAAGGGGAAATGGATCTAAGCTGGAACGTAGGAGGTTCCGCTTAAACATGAGGAAGAACTTCTTCCCAGTAAGGGTACCAGAACACTGGAACAGGCTGCCCAGAGAGGTTGTGGATGTGGAGTCTCCTTCTCTGGAGATGTTCCAAACCCGCCTGGACGCGTTCTCGTGTGATCTAATCTAGGTGGTCCTGCTCCGGCAGCAGGATTGGACTAGATGATCCTTTGAGGTCCCTTCCAATCCCCAACATTCCATGATTCTGTGACTTCGCCAAGAGCTACGTGTGCTCAGGACTGCGGTGGCAGTGCGGAAGCTCAGAAAAAGGAAAAAAAAAACGAGAACAAACCGAATTCTCCCGTACCCCTTCCAACGCCTGGGACCTACCCGTCCTCCAGAGAACGGTATCGTAGAAAAAGGAGAACTCCATCTCTGTGTGATGCTCCAGAGAAGCCCAACCTCTCGGCGCTGTCACGTAAATGTAGGAGACGTAGAGCGGGACGTGGACTGTTAAGAAGGACTGAGCAGAGTCCCGTACCTATCAACAAAACCCCAAAAAGGTGGTTATGCACCTTCCAAAGGAGAGACACTGGCCCAGGCTCACAGCACCCACTGCATCCGCGTTCTGCCCTGCAAACGTGGGGAAAAAAGCCAGAGGACCTGCAGCAGAAGACTCCTTTTTAGTTCTGGACCATGGTTGTGTGAAACACAGGGAGGACAACATGGGGATGAAGCATTTCTAGAACAATATAATGTCATTGCTCCATCAAGACTGAGTTATTGGCAAACAACGAGCTAATATAATGTCATTGCTCCATCAAGACTGAGTGTTATTGGCAAACAATGAGTGGATCTGCAAAAAAGTGATCGCCGGACTGCCGTTTGAAACATAATTATGAACTGCTGGGAAAAAGTATGGAAGCACAGAGTGCTCCTCACATATTACAAACCCCCTACGATTACGTCAGAGACGACTGTCTGGACTTTCTTCACCTTTACGTGGAGGTACTTTAGACAAACCCGCATTTTAAATAAGGGTAAGTCCTAAAGCACACTGGTCTCATGGTACACAAGGAGCTGTGCTCCCAACTTCACCTCAAAACCCCTTCAGTTTCCAATTCCCTGAATTAAAAATAAGCAATTCTGCTTGCTCAGGGCTAGCCCTGAGAATATCTGCAACGCCACAGCTCTCCAGCTATATCCCATTTATTATCCGCGGAGCGCAGCTCTACTCTGCCAGCCCCTGAGAGAGCTCCGAGAGACATTCCAGACTCTCGGTGCCAGTCTCCACGGATTAATTACGCAGTTGTTCAGTTCAAGTAGCTTCTCTGGAGTTGTGCAAATAATTGGAGCTATAAAAAGAAAGTTAATGAAGTATTCTGGACTGGCAGGAATTAAGAGATGATGTTGGCCGTAACATTCTGGGAATTTAACACAAGAGTCTAATGCAGAGGAGCTACTCACTCCAGTGAGATGAGACACTTCTGGTAGCAAATCTGCTATTTTATAGAAGAACATTTCTGGGTTTGGGTCTGCCAGTTGGTTAATTAAGAAATTAAATAAAAACTCCCATGACCTCGCGCCACTGAGGAGTACGAACTGATGTGCCTTGGCTCTGTTCTTTGCTCACTTATTTTGGCTAAGAATACAGCCAAAACTGCAAAAGAAGAGAGCACAGGTGAGAATGTTTTGTATTTCCAGTACATCCTCAGATTTAGAAAAAATATTTTACTGGCGCTCTGAAGATCAAGAAAATAAAAGCTACGTT